AATTCGTGCTTATTAAACATCCTCTAGCTCCAAAAATGAATGACACACCCAGAATAGGAACAGGCCACATAAATACTCAACCCCTAAGCATATGCAGTTAAGTCAAAAATCGGGGCAAGCAGTTCTAGGCGAGCTCGCTTATAAGCCACCAGGACACTAAGTCAAGCTGTGGGAAATACTACCTAATGGGAAACCTTATACTGGCCAATCTCAGAACCAACTTGAGTCACCGCATGTGTCTGTGGTCTCTGCATGGACATCTCAGAACTCGGAATCACTTCTCATGTTACAACAAGGAGTGCCAAAGAGACAGTCGATCCATCGATGCTTCAAGTCAGATCCCCACAAGGGGTAAGGTAGCAGAGGATGAGGAGGGAGGTTTCAGAGTCTTCCTGGGACACAGGAAGGGGAGGGGCCACAGTCCCACACCCAAGCTTCACCCTCCACCAGGGCCAGCTTTGCAAAGCCTTGGAGGCCATCTCTCTGCCCACCCCAAGCCTCTTCCCAACACTCAAACCTTTCTGACACCCTTAAAACCACTGCTGAGAATGCAGGGCCTGGCCAGATCATCTCATTAGTTCATGAGTTAGGTTATTGTGGGTTAATTTAAACTTATTGTGATCATCAGGTATATCTCATAAACACTTGATTAGTTAACACATCAAATTGAAATTAAAACTTCAATTAAACCGAAATTCACTACTACCATTTAGGGTCTTTAAAAAAAAAAAAAAAAAAAAAAGCTAAAAACAGAAAGTATGGGAGAGAGAAAAAGGGAAGGCACTGTCTCAGAAGGGTCTCCTATACGGCAAACTGCTAATTAAACAAATTGTCAATTTCAACACAATGAAAACTGATTTAGGAGAGTGTAAATTTAGTATTCTAGTCACTGAAAATAAGACCTGCATTGTCGATCTCCTACAGGCTGATTCCATCTGATAGGGAAATGAGGAGGAGAGGAGGAAGACAGCGAGAGAAAGGAGGAAAAACGGCAAAGGAAGAACAAGCTGGAACGCTGTCTCCTTTTCAGAAATGACATCTCTGCTGAATTTAATGCAGCCTATTCTCAAGCATCAGAGAAACTCTTTTCTTGCCTCCTCCTTCACCCCACCCCAACCAGATTAGAAAAAAAAAAATTAATCGTGTATGATGACAAACTTGGCTCAGCACTCACTGTACATACTGTACCCACAAGTCTGGCTCCCAGCCAGGCCTGGCCTGGAGCCAGAACTACAATAACAAACACAAGCGATGCTAGCCAAGAGGGGGTGGGGCAGCACGCAGAGCTAGCCAGGAAGTGAGCGCTGTTCAGCTCCACTGAGCAGAAGAAAACAGCAGGAATGTGCCAGTGCAAGGGCGGCAGCATCTGGGGGCAACCACGACCCCTACCCAGATCCTGGACTCGCTCCTCCACAGTCTGCCCATTTTGGGGAAAAAAAAAATGCCCCCCAGGGTTCTGGAGCAACTACTGTTCTTCCAGGCTGTAGGCTGCTTCAGCCCATGGTCATCATCTGTAAAATGGGTCCACTCTACAGACCTGGTGCACCCATTCTCACTGTCAGCTTTCTTCATGGAGCCTTCATAACAGAGCAGCAAGAAAACCTCTCATCATCTAATTCAGTGTCTCTTCTAGAACATCACCTAGCTCTGTTTTCAGGCATCTAGCAGTAGGCATAAGAACATGTAAAGCACTACCAGAATCTGTAAGCAGACCCAGCGCTACCAGCCCAGCCCTCTGACCCCAACTCCCTCAACAAGGCCAGGTCACTCCAGAGGCCCCCAGGCCCTGTTTAACAGGGGCCAAACAATTCAGGAAGTGGTCTAGCCTCACTAAGTCCCTTGTGCTATTTTATTTTTAAGACCTCTCAGCACAACGGTGAGGAGTATGCCGGACAACAGAAAAAAAAAAAAAAAGAGAACAGAAATATCAGACTGTAGGTCGTGAGCTATCTGCAAGGGTAGATTAAAACCCTACTATGACTCATCGCACCTGCCTAATCATCAAATCATTCTTTCCAAGGGCACTGGCAAGTGACTAGCAGAGGGACAAATCATTTGACACAATCAGCCTTCAGTGCCCAGATAAGATAGGCATAGAAAGGAAAAACTAGGAAAACAGGACCCAACTACCAAAGCCTCTGGAGCAGCCATATGAGATCAGGGGACGTGGAAGCAGTATCTCAGGTGGGACCAAAGTCAGCTTCCCCAGGGAACTGCCAGCTCCGGACGGGGGTCGTGCAAAGTCACACTCTTGTCTGAACTGGGGACGCCAGGCCCACCTGGCATGAGTACGCAAGCGGTCCTTTCCCCTCTGCAGCTGCTCCCACCAGCCCCACCAATGCTGCTGATGTGTGATTCAGAGCAGAGACAGTGGTTAACTCACACTTTGTCACACCACCTGGAAGAGGGATACGATACGGGCCAGGGGGCTCCTGGATGACTCCCTGCCCTCCCCTCACTGGCCCGCACAGTGAGTCCTTGGGACATCAACAGTCCCTACCACAGGAAGGCCTTGTCTGCAGAGTGGAGTTTCCTGGAGTCGTTCATCGGCCTCCCAGGCTGCATCATTCACTCCGCAAATATTTGTTGGCTCCAATAATGTGCCAGTCAGTATGCTGGACATGATGGGGACAGGATCTGTCCCATTACATGTGAGGCACGGTGGTATGTATCCGAGGTGAGCCTCACAGCTTCTCTAAGATAGCGTTAAATATTTTCATTTTACAAATGAGGATACTGAGGCTGTAAGAACCTACGGTTCCTGCCCCAGATCACACCAGCAGTAGGTAGGTGTCCAAGTTCCTTCCACCACGTAACCTCGCCTCTCCAGTAAGGGAGATAAGGCAGGTCCATAAATAACCATAACACAGAAGACACATTGCACACAACGATAGCTTCAAATAAATAAATACAGGCACAGAGAAGGCACAATTGCTTCTGGCTGGAGGTGGGGAACAGCTGTGGTTGGCATCACGGAAGGAACCTTGGAAGATCTAGGAAGACGGAAGATAGGTTATTCCAAGTAGACAGAATGGGGTGAGCAAAGCCACAGAACTCAGAAAGCAACAAGCTCATAAAGCAAACCAAGAAGATGAGTCTGGCCAGAACCCTGGACTCAAAGAAAGAGCAGTAAGAAAAGATGCTTACTGGGGCTGAGAGGGCAAGGAGGCTTCACCAACAGGCTAGAAGTGCACTGCCCCAAAAATGCCCAGCACCACCCAGGGGTCTAGGAGAGGATGCAAAATGAGTGGCAGCCCCACCCTTTGCAGTAAGGCAGTGGTGAGCTAAAGCAGAAAAGAAATGAGGCCCGAGAAAGTAAGAGACGGGTATAGCCAACCTGGTGGGCAGACAGTTCACGCAACCTGCCACACCCTGAACCTTCAATAGCATACAAAGCTGAAGGGAAGCACAAAGATACAAGGTGTGAGGCGTTAAAACAGAAGAAAATGTGCATGTGAGTGCCAAGCAGATGCAGATGCAGGAATGCCTGGGCCCGGGGTGCTGGACCGAGGTGAGACAAGGGGGCAGGAGGAGGATGACTGGGTGGAGTCAGAGGCAGGGTGGGGAGGGTACCCCGGAAGGAGGACCAGAATGCACGAAGACATGGGGACAGTAGACATGCCAAGACAGGCAGCTGCCAGCTGCCTGGTGTGGACAGATCCCTGTGCCTGGAAGAGAGAAGAATGGGAAATGAGAAGGAGTTAGGGCGCTTTAGGAAGAGCCATGAGGGCCAGGGAGAGAGACCACAGCGCAGAACCACATGGGCCCTGCAGCAAGGCCGTGGTGAGCTGAAGCAGAAAAGGCGACCGAGGAGCACTTCCGTGACTGTACTGACGATGGGCTCGGGGGGAAAGAGGGTGCAAGCACCCAGGCAGGCAGGGAATGAGCGGAGGGGGACACACCCTCGGGGCAACAGGCTCAGAAACAAGGATGAGGGAGGAAGGTACAAGCAGAAACCACCGACATTTATTAAATGCCGACTGTAGGCCAGGGGCTTACTACAGATGCCTTCAACTTATATTCTATCACCTAATCCTCCAAAAAATTATATAAGTTAACAACACCACACTTGACAGATGCAGAAACTGAGGTTCAGAAGATGAATATAGCTAAGGTCATAGGGCACATATCACAAACAGGATTTGAACCTTTGTCTGCCCAACCCCAAAGCCCATTTCACAAACACCAAACTGCCTGGAAGGCCAGTTTCTGGAGCCAATACGGGGAAAGGAGAGGCAGGCCTTGGCCTACATGAGGAGAAAGCAAAACCAAATGAAAGAACAGTGCTCTTCCTCTCCCCTGAAAAATGACTCCAAGGTTGGAAGGCAAGGGAATGAAAGGGAAGGGAATATGCGCCTGGCAAAGGAGAGTTGAGGCCTCTACAGCTAAAGTCAGGTGACCTAAGCCTCAACGCCATCAGACCTGCTACCCTCCCTCCACCAAGAACACCCGGGCATGCCAAATGCCAGCTGCTTCTCCCCATTCCACAGCTCGTGGGGCAGAGCAACTTTGCCCAAACATGAGCAAAATTACCAGCAGTCACACAGCCGACCTCGCTAGAATTGGATAAAATTAACTTGCAAAAGACAGCACGCTATAACTAGCTTTGTGTTCCAACCTTTCTATATCTATTTAATTAAAGGCTCCTGTATAATGTGAACCCAATAGTCAGATTCATTAGATGGTGAGAACCTAATTCCACAACTGTTTCGCTAATGAAACTGCAGTCTACTTTGGAAGGTGGATCACATGGGGCACTGGTTGCCAGTGATGCCTGGGAAACCCATGAGAGCTTGAAGGTGGGTTCATCCGGGGTGACCCCGCCATCCAGATGGATCTTCCGTGACAGGAGCCTGGAGGGAGAATCCAGGGAACAAGATGGGCCAGGGCCCCAGCTGGCAGTGGGGACGTGCAGGCCACAGCAGGCTCTGAGTAGGGGTGAAGGCAGACAGGAGGTGGTTGCCTGTATCTGAATGGGCCACTGAGGCGACCCTGCCTACCTGAATGAGCCAGTAAGTGCATTCTCAGCCGCAAACTATCCAGGAACCGCTTCCCGCAGAGCTCGCAGCCGTACGTCTTCATCCCACTGTGCAGCTTCCTGTAAGGGAAAGGAAAAGAGAGGTTGCTGCTGCTCTGGCTGGAAAGGAGGCAGGGCCATCTCCTACCTGGGTGCTTGGCAACCATCCCTCTGGCAGGTGACAGGTGGAAGGGAGCAGGAGGGCATCAATGGAAACACATCCCTGGATCCTCAGACAGTATAAATCTCGCCCTCTGCCCAGGGACTGCTGCCCGTGAAGGACCCATTCTTGGTCTTGTCCACAGGCTTTACCACTGGCACGTGGACCAAGAAAATAAATCAGCTCCAATTCCAGAAGGAGGAAGGATGAAACACCACGGACAGTCAGGCAGACATAATGCTCACTGTCAAACTAGCACAGACCTCATAGGAGGCCCCGAGCCTCTGCTCGCCTCTGTACAGCACTGCTGTCACCAGGTGGAGGCTGCGCACAAGCCTGTTGGACCCAGGAGGGCCACACGTGTATCTTTTCTCTCTCCTAGCTCCAACTTCCATTACAGTGACTGGCATGCAGCAGGCTCTGAATAAGCCTATGAATAAACTGATGGCCTTACAGACACAAGATGCTTCTTTCTCTGGCATCCAGATGTTCTTAGGACTGCAGTGACCCACCCCAACACCCACACCTTTCCCCTAAGGCTCGGCTTCAGAAGTATCTTCTCTCATCTTGCCCCAGCAGAAAGCAGAGTTTCAAGAAACCGGATAACATCATTCTATAAATGTAGAGTGGTCATAGTCATCTGTGGCTCTTCATACACATTCTCTCGTTTTGCCATCACTATGATTCTGTGAGGTGGGCTGGGACCATGTTATCACCCCAGGGAAAACCGAGGTTCCAATAACAACTGGTCACAGGCCCAACCTGCAGCAGTGCTCCCATCCCAACTCCCAATGCGGGGCCTCTCCCACCAGACCCCTGGCTCAGTCATGAGCCAGCTTGGGAGCTGGTAAGAGGCAGGGAGCCGAGCACTGGGGAGAGGTTCCAAGCAGCCGCCCACCCACACTCCTGTTGTCAAGCCCATACATGCTATTGCTGGATCCAGGATCCAGCCTCCACCTCCACCCCAGTCTCCGTGCCATCCCTGCAACCTCCCCAGGGGCCTTGGCCCTCAGGACAGGGCAGGCATGGCAGCCAGAAGCAGGATCTGTGGGAAGTGGAACAGGCAGAAGGGAAAACAAGGCCTTCTATCTGCATCAGAATGTTGACGTGTTAAGACCATAGTAAAAGGGTGGAGAGCTGGTACTGATCACAGATAAAACTGCAGGTGGGGAGAGGGAGTATTACACACTCAAGCTGGCAGCATCTAGATGATGGCAAAACCCAGCCACCCACTGCCACCACCGTCCAAGTCGCAGAATGAGAACCCAGCAGTGTGTCAAGACCATGTGGGGCACCCAGGTGAGCCTCCTTAGTGCCAGTTGGTGGGCTCCCCCAGCATGAGGACCAGCATTCGGTGTCAACTGTACGCAGCCTTCTGATAGGGATCACACAGAGTTCTCTCAGCAAAACTCTTTCTCAATCACGTTGTTGTGTTTGCTTGCTTTCCCTTTCCCCACTTGCCAAAGACAAACGATTTCTCAATCACAAATACACACATACACATACACACACACACACACGCACACACACATACCCTTATCTATGACACTGTAAGGGTACCCCCCACAATGTTCTCTTGCTCCTTGCCATGCTGATCCACCCAAATTGAGAAATATTAACAGTACAAAACATTTTAACTGAACATTCTTAACTCTAAATATATTTCACAATGCTGGGCACTGGGACATGTCCTAATAGCATTTTGGACGAAGTATCTTTTAAACTACGTATCTAGGTATGTGAGCACATGCAAACACACATGATAGTGGAGTATTCCTGTCACTTGCCTGGGCATGAGAGATACTTGCTTTTCTAAGAGACGTTCTATAGAGTGGCAAAGACTATTCACAAGGGGTTCAGCAGGTGAACTCCTCATACGCAATCATGGTAAAGTCCGGTGGACAGCAACATAGGGTTTCAGTTGATTTTCATCCTTGTCTTCGCAGGGGATTTGTTAGCCCCCAGTGTGCCCACTCCTTGGGGGTGGCTGTCAAGAGGGACAGGAGGATGAACACCCATTTGGATTTGTTTTCCAAAAGGGCACTAGAGTGACTGGTCTTCAGAGCTGGGAGCCACCATCAGGCTAAACTCCCATCTGGCACTCCCATCTCTTCTCCCTGAGGGTTCTAGATGAAATCCCTCACCATGATAAGCACTCTTGGTTTGGGTAACACCCCTGCCTTTTCTCTAGGTATTAATGCATTTGCCTGGCATTGATGGAAGTGGCTTATCTTGGCCAACTGGATCGGCTTGGTGTGAAAGGTGACAGGCACTTGCCCTTTTACTACGGAGGTGGCAGGGTACAGGGAAGAACGCTCAGCCAGCAGCCAGACGACCTGCATCCTCCACCTGACTCGGCCATTAACCTTGGACAAGTCATACTATCACAACTCTCTGCATTTCATCACCTATAAAGTGATGTAGATCACATGTAATATTTACAATAGAGACAAAATTATCATTCCAAAGTCTTACCCATATCCTTTTACCTGGCCTCTAAGGCAGTCCTCTAAGGGGCACCATTATTCTCCCTGAGCCACGTCCCACTCGTTACTGGGCACTGTGAGGTCCTCTGACACTGAGGGAGCCAGGCTAGGATCGCCCAAGCAAACCTACACACCCAATCCCAGCAATCTAGTTATTTAAAACCTAACCCAAGTGGCCTGAGTTTTCTCCTTTTCTCATTTGCTATTTATCTTTCAATGAAAGAAATTTCCAGAAATTACCAACAGCCTATCCTCTGAATGACTCTATTTTCATGCATTTCTCCACCTTCAGAGACCCTATCCTGGCTATTCCTTGGGTAAGGTCACTGCCCTGCAACTGACCCACCAGCTCAGTGCCCCGCACAGGTTACCAGAGATGAATATGGTATCCATGTGATTCCACATGAAGTACAAGGGCAAGGTCTTCCCTCTCTGGCAGAGAGACCTGGGCAAAGCACACAAAGTTCATTAGAGAAAAAGGGAACAACCTCACAGGCCTGGGAGTTCAACAGAGCCCAGGGCTGGTTTGCTCACATCCCTAATTCCTGTTCGTATACCAAAGGAAGAATGCAGAAAAGTGAAGGCTTCTCCAATTCAAAGAAAATAATGGTGGAGAATTTCAGTGCAGACCTGGCTTCAGAGAGACCTGGCTACCGGCAGACCCCCACGGCACAGTCTGCAGAAGAGCCAACGTGGAAATAGAATTCCAACTGGTTCCCAGAGCAAAAGTGCAAATTCGTGTGAACTCACAGTCTATTCCCTCTTTAGACCACAACCTCCCACCACCACCATCATCACATTATGCAACTGCAAAGCATTTAGATCAAAATGGAAATTCTATCCACCTCCTTCTTCCTTACCACACACACTCACATCTTCCCAATCCAGTCCTATCTTTGTATAAGGTCTAATTGCACGTGGCCATCTGAGATTGTCAGCCTCCACTGTGACAGGAAAGGAAGACATCTGGGGACATTTTTGCACCTTTCTGTACACTGCTTTAGATGGTGGTAGAGTTTTCACACTCTCCTCTGAGAAGAAGCCACCTTGCTGAACACCATTTTGAAAGTAACCCAGTTCTAGTATGTCCCACGCATCTCCATCCTATACTCAGTGGAGATTCCACTGCCCCCATATGCTTCAGGTCCTCATTCTCCATTCCTGGGGAACAGACTCAAGTTCTCCACAACTCTTAGTGGCTCATTAGGTAAACTCACCTTGCATGTAACAGATTTTTACTCATGTCCAAAAAGACAAGAACACATTAACTTCTAACAAGTTTCTGTTTTCTCAAGAAAGCTGAATCATTATGAGAAATTCAAGCTAAACAAAACTGAACCTTTTAACAAGTAACTGAAGAGTTCATTCCTTCTCACTGGTTTTCAACCACACAACTCTCACTAGTAAAACCAAGCTAGCAAGATACAAGCTCATCATTTGAACCATTTCTGTGCTACTGAGAGTCTGAAAACTCATAAAGATTTCATCTGATTTTAGAGTGCAAATCCCATAATGGCAGAGACCAGGGCTATACTTGCTTTCCTTATAAGGCTTCATTCAAAAGGGACTGGTCAAGGATGCTGTGGAAATCGCTGTGTAAATTGGCATCTATGGCATTCCTTTGCTCATCCTAACAATATTCCAAGTAGAACAACTTCACTGGTGGCTTCCAATTCAAAACTGGACCCTGCCCTATGGCTCCTAAAGTCCATACAAGGAAGACTAATGGCTACTGCATAGAGGCATGAAGCCTTAGCTTTAGACCAACCTGTCATCTTCAGGATAAGCCTTTATCAACCTAGAATAAATGGTAGCAAGGAGAGACCCAAGCCATACTCCATCCTCCCTACCCTCAGCTTCCAGAGAGAGCTGACCACAACAGCTGAGCCCTAAGGGGGCATCTACCATGTCTACTCTCCTCAGGGTAAGCTCAGTCCGCTTCCACCCCATGCAGCCAGGGACCAAGGGGAGAAGGCTACAAGAAGAACCCACTGCACTAGCAGGTGTCAAGGGGAAAAGCCCAGCCGCGCTGGCTGGCTGAGAGAGAGGGGTTCACGTCCAAGCACGGCCAATGCCACATTTCTTCCCAGGTTCCTGAGCCCAGGGAAAAAGGCTCAAGCTGGAGCAGACCAATAGGCAGGGAAGGTTTAGAGAGAGACTCTTCAGTTCCAGTAATTCAAGGGTTGAAATTGTCTGACTTGTGAGTTTTGCTGAACAGATCCCCCACAGGGAACTGGGACCTGTGATTGGGGAAAATGAATGGGAGGGTTCCACAGCTGGAATACCCACTGCTCTCTCCCACCTTTGAATGAGGAAAAATAAAGTGGGGAATATATCCTGTAAGGGCATTTATAAGATAATGTTGTCCTTGTTTTCAGCCTAACTGATCCATCCTCTGAAACAACACTTGGACCAGATCAATGCAGTACATAAGT